GGTGATTCTTCACATAAAATAAAAAATTTATATCTTTATGTTTGAAGCCTGAAATGTGGCAAAAGGTTGAAAAGTTCAAGGGGGCCGAAAACTTTCGCAAAGCACTGTAACTGTAGTGTTACTGAGAAAATGTTGCAGTTCTTGGAGCCATATTTTTCCCAGGATACTGCATAGGCAGAAGTTAACTAACACAGCTTTAGCGTTTGTGTGCTTTTCTGTGCTGTTAGGTATGCTGAGTAAGTGTAAAGGAGATAGTGTTGATAGGCTTAGTGTGAAGAAGCAGAAGTGGTGGTAGAGTTGTTGGATAGGTTAGCCAAGGGTGAAAACATGTCTTCTGTTGGGAGCCAAAATGGCCTGAACCATAAAGTATATTAAGAAAAGTGAAAAGAAAATAAAGTCAATGTCATACAGTATGTGAGTTTTTGTTAAATTGTATGAACATTTTATAACTTGTTTTTTAAAGTATTTTGTTGTATAGGCTAATTAAAGCCAAATTTTAGTCTTTATTTTTCCTATTGGAAGTTAGATTTCCACGTAGGATTTATGTGGATTGCACATTTTCCAAAACGTACACCTCACGACGGCTGAGGTTTTGTTACATTGGTTTTATATGAAGGGCCCCAATAAATTTAGACAACTGATATTTTAACTGGTAAGTCTTTTTCCAGACCCAGTAGGTTGATTTCATATGTGTAACAAATGAAAATGATAGAAGTAGAGTCATTTGTTAAACAGATACCTGCATGTGGTCTGTTAGACCAACAAATCATATTTTAAGAAAAGGACATTAGTAAAGAATCATCTTAATAACATGTCTTGTATCCTGCACTATTTAATTCAGTATAGCTGTTCAACAATCCTTGCTGTGAGAAAGTTCGTTAAACATTTAAGATCTAAAAATAATTTTCAAACAATTTGATTTATTATGCCACCCAGTGGTAAACCCCTGTTTTGGATACATGGTGCCAACTCTTGTCTCTGCGTCTTTCCGCTATGCATTCAGCTAAGGGATTACAGGGCTGACCTCTTAAAAAGTTTAAAGATAAAACTTCCATTTGTACCCCATGCAGGTATGTACTCTAACTAAAGAAGACAATCGAGAGATTGGAAAGATACCAGAAGACGAACAGCTCCATGTACTGCCCTTGTATAAAATCTCCTCAACTGACGAGTTTGGCAGCGAAGAAGCGCAGCGGGAGAAAATGAAGACATGTGCCATCCAGGTCCTAAGTTCGTTCCGCCGGCAAGTGCGCATGCTCCCCGAACCAGCCAAGACGTGTCGCCAGAAGAAGATGGAGGCCAGGAAAGCAGCAGCAAATAAGCCTTCAAACCCAGAGACGCCCAACTCCAAGACAGAGAGAAATTTGCAAGCAAGAGTGAAGCAAAGCACTTTCGAAAGCAATGGCCAAAACATGTCCATGTCAGGTGTGTCTTCTTCTCTTGACTTATCAGTTTGAGATATTTAGCGCTGTTACAGCACGGTCAGGGGCAATAAACTGGCATTCCTGTGAGGAAACACTTAAGCCACTGAGCAGAAAAATCTGAAGCGGTTAAAATGTTTCAAAGTTTATGGGTTTTTTTCTATTGGGAAGAATTTCCACTCCACATCTCAAAATTACAAAAAACAGGAACAATCTTTATTTCAGAAACACAATATGGCACTACCTACCATAGTATTCCATGTGCTCATTGAATTTGCTCTGCATTTCTGTGAATGCCATCTAAAACAACACTTCTTACCTTTAGAACCAATATATCAAAGATTCGCTACTCTCATTTAAGTTACTCTCCAGTCTAAGAAGTAAAAATAAGTCAAGACTCCTTACTCAATAGTTGTTTTCTTGTCACTCTGTTTACAGGTTCTCATCCAGGTCAAAGTCACATAGGGTCCTCTCACCTTGGCCCTCAGCAAAACTCCCTCAGCAGTCATCAACAGAAGAATAATCTAAATCATCATCCCAATTCACTTCACCCACACAGCTTTCAAAGATTTCCTAACCCCACAGATCAGTTTCCAAGCACTTCCCAGCCAGCAAACCTTTACCAAGAGTCCACCACCCCCACAAACCCTTACCCGACCTCCCTGCGTGCAGCAGACTCCTATTTAAATGCATCAACACCTATGAACTCTTATCCTGCTTCTTTAAATCCCAGCAACCTTCACACAGCATATCAATGCAATGGAAGCATGCCAGTCGACAACTGCAACCCCTACTTTGCCTCAGATCCAAAGCATATTGACTTATACAGACATCAAACTCCAGAAACCATGAGCAAAATTGGTTTGTCACAGCTTTACTCTCAACAGCAGTACAACCCCCATCAGCACTATGGACTTAACTATTCACCTCAGTATGGTGATCACAACATACAAGTCAATGGTTATGGTAATTGTAACATGAGACCCAATGTTCATTCAATGGGTCCCTACCCCTCCTTTGGTCCCAATGCTGGAACTGAGGCTCAGTTTTTTGAGGCCATTTCTCGACCTCCTTCCACTCGCCCAAATCTGGACTATGCAGCAGTTAACAAGGGCAACCAGTACAATCGATATCCCAACCCGTATTTAGTCCAGAATTCTTCAGTGTTCAGTTCAGTCCATGACAGTTTTCATATGCAACATAAAACAGAGGTGAATTTGCACGGCCCTAATGGGATAGCACGGGTGCTTCCAACACTTGGAAACGAATGTCCAAATCTCTCGCAACTGGGATATGGGTTAACGAATGGGAATTTTCAGGGGAATCTCAGTGAACCAGAGCCTGGAGCACAGAATCCCAAGGAGTCGAATGAGGACGTGTGGTCAGACAGTGAGCACAACTTCCTCGATCCCGACATTGGTGGTGTGGCAGTGGCACCCAGCCACGGCTCCATTCTCATCGAGTGCGCCAAGAGGGAGCTCCACGCGACTACCCCGCTGAAACACCCTGACAGGAATCACCCCACTCGCATCTCACTGGTGTTCTACCAGCACAAGAGCATGAACGAAGCAAAGCACGGGTGGGCGCTTTGGGAAGCCAAGATGGCCGAAAAGGCCAGGGAGAAGGAAGAGGAATCTGAGAAGCAAGGTTCTGATAACGGGCCTATCAGGAGCGGCAGTAAGAAAATCAAGCGAGAACATTCCGAGGTGCTAGACCAATCAGAACCTCCCTACAAACGCTTCATCCAAACCCTAACACAACGAACCGTTTCCTGTACCACCAACTCCATTGTCAATACATCTCCCTATGCCTTTACAAAGGTAACAGGGCCTTACAACCGGTATATTTAGCTTTGTATTCAGGTTTACTGTATCAGAAAACATTAATTTAACAACTACAGGCGCTATAGTAGGTTAAAACCTCATCGCACAAGTGGCCACATGTTGCGTAAAGCTCATTCTAAAAGTGTGGTTGCCTGAAAATAATGTTTGATTATTCTATGCAATGGCTTAGGTCCCACATTCAAAGAAATAATATAAATGAATTGGAAGACATGCACATTACTCAGTCACAACTTTTGATACATGAGCTTTACTAAATCTGGGGTGACATTATAGCAGTATTTTTCTTTTGAATTTTGCGAGATACATACTGTACTAAACCTCTGGTGCTTCATGTCCTCTACACCAGGACTTATGATACTGGAAACAAATGTAAATTGTGGTGGGTTTTATTTTATCGTTGTTATAAAATAGATTTACTGTAGATAGATTTATCATACACATAGAAAATGTAATCTTGGCATAAAACACTGACTTCTTGGGTTATTTAATTCATGGTGCTAAAAAAGAGTGTCTTTAATATAAATTTTCCATTTAAATGCCTTCAAATTCAGTGAAAATGTCTACGTTTTAAGGCTAAACTCAACAAGCAATCTAATTGTTTTTGAATGATGTTTTCTGCATTTAAAATGTAGAAATTTGAAATTAATGGTCTTCAACGATGAAATGTTGGATTATTAGTGCTTTTAAAGCAGTTTGTATGATTAAGGTGAAACTTTTTGAAGGATTAAATCATACCTTTAAATTAAAAGATTCACCTTTGAACTGTAAGATGCCAGAGAAGCATCATTATTTAGTACTTTAACCTTATGTGACAGGCTACATATACAATTTTAATACAATAACATACAAGGTTTTACAGAAACACTTAACATGGTGCTTATTTTTTTAAGTCACATTGAAATAAAATACAGATCTTTGTAGTTCAGATACTTTACTGAGCCATTCAAATGGTGCATTTTTGAGTAATATTATCAAATGAAACTGAAGACCAGCATGTTTAAATATTTTTCTGTAATGGTTAGCCCACTGTCTATGATGGGTATCAGAAAAGAATTCACAGCAGGTCCTTTTGACAAATTAAAGACTCATGTATAGTTACATAACTTGGCAACATAAATATGTTCTACGCTCACAAACGTAAGAGGTGAGGAATGCCTGGGCAAAGAACATAAAACAGGGTTAGCTATAAGTAGTTGTAACAGATTCAAAGGCAGCTGGCTTGCTGTGGAGTCTTTAAATCATTGTAATCTAGGTGTAAAATAATAGTAATTGAAAAAGAGTAAAATTTGTACAGTAAATTAAATTACAAACATTTCTGAATTTACGCTTTAGAGTTTAGTACTGTAAAATATTATTTCTTTGGGTTTGAGCTGATTTTATTTCAAAATGGTGCTATTTGACCTGCTATCTACATGTATAATGTGAGACTCTTACTGAGTGGTGAGAAGGCTTATGAATGATGTTTCCTACTTGTCATATACCTCAGAACTAGTTTGGCAATAGGATTATGATATTAAAGCATTGTTTGTACAGTTTTATACACCATCTCTTTCACACAAACATCAAAAAACAACAACAAAACCTAAGGATTACAGAGAGGAAAAAAATATGACATTACTTTTTCATACTTGATCTCTTAGCAAGTATAACTTGAAATTCAAGATTTGATTTTAAAACAAAATCAGGGATATTTCAGCTCATTTTCCATGTATGCCAACATTGCCTGTGTTAATGTTTATCCTTTTTATTTTATATTTTTATTTCCTTCAGGGATTTGGCTTCTCAATTCTTAATCCCTTTCTTTTCCAGTACAGTATATTATTAAAAGCTAAACCTATCTTTGTCAGTGAAAGGGTGGCATTTTTTTTTTAATATACTGTTTTGTACATTGTGTTTACCTTTAAAGAAGTAATTTGAACAAACAGTATGCACTGAACTGATAAAAGGGAAAAATATTACCTGGTAAACAATAATGTATTTGCTCTGTAATCAAGACAAAAGACTACGGCAGTAAATGAACATCCTTGTATCTGTGTAAAATAAGGCAAATATATTTATAACCACTAAACAATAATATTGTGCTTAATCCCCACCCCCTTATTTACAATCAAAATGATGCTGAGTAATTGTACACACGTTGAGTGGGTGTGTGCAACATGACACTCTTATCCTTTCTTTTATAGTAATCTCTGCTGAAAGCACTTCTTTTTAAAAAAATGACTATTTAAAATTGGAGAAAAAAATCAAAATGTAGAAAAGTAAAACTGTTTTAAATTATACCACACTGTAAATACAACACACTGTTTTGTTTTTTTGTTTTTAAATCCTTTTTTATTGGTACACATTTTGTCATCTTTTTTTAACCGTGACCCATTTTTTCTAGGAGAAAACAGCAGATCATTATTGTTTTGTTTTCTACCTGCCCAATGAACCTGAATTTGCTTTGAATATCTGGAAGAATGTTAGAAAAGGAAAATGTTTTGGCTTCTGCAACTGGCATACAGTGCTGTATATTACATTACTGCTATATCACACAGAAGAATTTGTAAAGGACTCTGGATCTGTAAAATAAAGTGTAACTTAAAGGTGTACAGGACCCAGCTTTAGTAGCAGGCTGTGATTGAGAAAGAATCAAAGTATAAACTACTTCGGGTTATCAACATAGCCATACTTGAAGTGTTACGAGTGGTGTCAACAATACTTGAATGACTTTCTGAGCTTGGTTGACCCACATTAGTGCACAGCTCTCTTGTTAAGCTACCAGTTTATGTACACATGTTGGCATTTAGCAGTTAGACACTAAAGTTTTAAGTTTCCTTGTGTTATTTTACTGCTTTTGTCCTTTTTTTACACTTCCCTTGTTTCCAAGATGTTTGGTATGTTTAAAAAAAAACTAAGGATGGTTATAAATACTGTAAGTAATGTAATGTACTGAATGCAGTTTATTTGAAAGCTGTTTATTATATCATTCCTGATATTGCTGAGATGTGGGTGTTTTTAATAAAATTTATATTTATTTAAAGCACTATCTTGGTGTTGCAGAACATGACCTTTGCAAGGTTACAAATATAATGCAGAACATTAAGCATGAAAAATTCTGCATTGCCTTGATACTATATTTTACTATATTAGTTCACCATTCTCATTTCTTATGGGATTGGAATTTGCACCCTTAAATTCTCACTGATTCTCACATACTTTTATTACAGCAAAAATAACACTTAAAATACTGCAGGCTTGTGGCAGGCCAGGCCAATAACAACAATAACAGATCACTGATTAGGGTTTTGCAGATTTGTAAAAAAGCTCACTTTGATGTAACACAGGTGGTTTAATTGGTTCACTACAAAACACATTTAGTTAGTGGTTTGATGTGTTTAGGAGCATATCAGTGAATGGGAGCCCGTCACAGAGTTCTTCACAGAATTTGTTGACACGAACACAAGTGTTTAGTTGCTATTAGAATGTATGCATACAAAACTGTATATACAGTACTACTTTGTTTAAACATGTGTACATAATGGAACTTCTATGATCCAAAATAGCTTTTTACCCCACTTTCAGTGAAAAAAAAGTGCTCTCTTGTCCAGATTGACTGAGCTCTTACAGAACTGTGCATACACTACATCTGTAGGTTTTGGTTATGTTTTATATTATGCTATAATTTACATGGTAATTATCAGCGGTGCAGTTAATTTTATTTTCTAATTACTGTGGGAATTTTTGTTTAGGTATTAACAATTAAATTGGTAACTTGCACGATATCTGTAAGTATATGACTGACAAGCAAACAAATATTGCACATCATAAAAACCAATTTCTCACACAACAGGCCTGTCATTTTAAAGGAAACTAAGCATTATACTGAGTCTTCAGCATCAGGTCCAATGTCAAGAGGAAGGACAACAGTGACATTCATTTAAAGAATTCCTTACCAATCTTTGGGGGGGATTTTATATCACTTCCGTCTCAGTTTTTTTCCAAGAACAAAGAAACCACCATGACAGAAAGACATTGAACTTTAAAGAAAACATCCCACGTTTTTCAATTACACTGGATTCCTGTAATTCCTGTATCAAATGACAAATCTTATGCTTCAGTAATGTTTTTTTTAATTAAGCCCACATTTGATGATAAATGGTCCCACAGCTGTGGAAAAAACAATCACTATTTTCCTGCCTAGGTGGTTTTTTATTGAGTCAGAATCGTCAGGTTCTGAATGCCATCTCATTCTGCATCGTAATCGGCTATCCAGCTACAAACAGAACAGAGTGAAACCCATTACTGTGTCATCACAGCTCATCTTTTCTTACGGCAGTTGATAGCATCACGCATTAATAGGAAAAAACTAACAACGAATTGCAAATGAAGTTGTTCCAAAGTTAGCTTTTACACAAACAGTACACAAACAGGCTAGTTTGTCCATCATCATATCCCTTTATTTACCAGAATAATAATCACGAACACTGAAATTGTGACTGTAGATTATAAAATACACTATTCTGTAGCAATGGTTTTTATTTAAAAATGAAATCATTGAAATTTAAATCTTTCTGTAAAAGACAGAAGTCAGCTTTTTGTGACTTGCAAACAAAATGTCACTGCATTTTAATACTTTTTTACAATTTAAAATAACCCAATATGTCCTGAATATTACATTTACTGATAATTGACTAGGTTTCAAGAGCATGTCTTAAAAATATAACACTAAGGTCCTAGCACTTTCTTTTAAGTGCTTAAAAGTATTTATTTCAATGATAGAAACACTTCTTACACTGAATCATTCATTGTCTATACATTAAAAAATATATACTTAAACGTAAGCAATTTGTTGACTTGAGATTACACCATTTCCTAAACTAAGAGTGATTTTATTATGAACTTCAACTTGCAGAGGAATAAAATAGTGTGCAAAGATGTTTATAGAATACTACAAAAACCACGAAAGAAATTTCAATATGTTTCAAACACTCAGTTTCAGGTCTTTATTCTGTTAAACATGGCAGTCTTTTGTGCATTAGATACTCATACTGTACATGTGTTTTTCACAGAACTCTTTGGCTTCAATCAACAGGTAATGGAAAAGGCTCCATTTGTGTTCGTGAGTCATTTTGCGAGAAAATGCCATTTATTCACTGAAACAGAAAACATTTTTTAATTAGAGACTGATGCCTTTTAACAATATATCACAACAATTTTCATCAGGCTAATTTGTCCACAAATATAAAAACAACTTATAATTGCCATCCATAAAATTATTTCTTTTAAAACTCAAAACTCGTAAAGAATTATTTGAATGAACTTGAGAACTCATTATGCACATACAAAATGCATTAGATTAAATGAAAAGTTAGTGTACCTACAGTGTGCAAATGGAGAATCAACAATTCGCTCTCAAGAACCAGCAACTTGCATCGTAATGTTGATTAGGATCACATTTTGAAAATAAATAATTTGCAAATCCCACTTTTTTACACAGCTTTTCAAGCACTTTATTTTTTTTTACCAAATACAAGGATTTCTGTTGGAATATCATCTATACTATTCATCTGACTTCCTTTTAGCCAGTGCAAAAGATGTTGCAATATCGGAATGATAGCTCTTAACAAACCCATACCACTGAATTTCCATCACCTTTCTGTTGCATTTTCACAGCGTCATGTTTAAGAATGAGTAACTGGCACACAATGATAAAGCAGTTCGTACAACTATACATTGTATACCCAAACAGTAAAACTAAACAAAAAGGAAAATGACACCTACCTTCAGGAGGCAGTGGTTCTGCTTTTCCATATTCTGGGGCCTAAAAGATAGAAAATTAAAAGGTCAAAATAAAAAAGAATTTAAAAATATTAGAACAGAACTATTTGCCCATGAGCTTAGAACCTTCGGTACAAGAGAGGCCAAAAATAACGTCATACAGATAAGTATTGGATGTAATTTTTGATTAAGTCACACATCTCCTACTCGAATATAAACTGCTATGTAGGAAGTCAGTGAGCCACTGATTTAACACAGTGGAAAAGTACCCCATAAACCAGGTGACAGGATTATTTAGATTGCATCTTAACTCTCTACCTTTCAACCTATAAACTCTTACCACCAGCTCTGCATTACTCTCAACATAAAAGACCATATCAGAGGCTGTTTTTGTCACACTCTTAGTTCTTTTGAGTAGCTGCTATTTACTGTGTTGCAATACTACACCTTATCTGAGGGGGTTGCTCACACTTTTTCTTGCACTGTATATTTGCTTCTGTGTTACAAAGTTGTATCGTGTCAGAGCTCTCTGTTTAATCTCGCCACATTTAAATGTTGTTTACACCTACCTTTCAGGCTTTAAACTCAAATATGTATTTGGTAATGTAATCAATAACTGCATAATAATCTAATTGAATAGTGCTAACGGGGGGCTAAAGTATTTTGTATGTTTGTTTTAATGTTATTATTATTTTGTAAGAAACAGCAACCCTGTGCAAAAAACAGATTGTTATATTTTAGCAATGTTAATTTGCAGATAATGCATCTGAGCAGTGTTAGGTGTTCGTGCAGTTTCAAGGTAGAGGTGTAGACATGTACAGCTATTTTGAATAGTTCTTTGAGCACATAAGTTAATAAACAGAACATATTAAATCTAACAGAAACTGTAATTTATTTGTGCAAAACCCTTTATTTTCTGTTTGGCAGGAATGGAACACAGGGCATTTGGCGATTACTTAAAAAAGGAACGTACCCATTTGACCAAATACATTCCACAAAACGGATTACCAAGATACTTGGAATGCTTCAATCGTGTGCAATCAATTTCATATGGACATAGTTTTCTTTCATGTCAGCAAGGGAAGCATACTTGCTCACAAGACATAAGAACATTAGAATATAAGAGAGGCTCCAAACAAAAGGGGTCCACTAGTTTATATTGTTTGTTTGCTTATGTAAACTGATGTAACCTGGTGAGTTAAATTAATCTAAAATTGTTCTTTGCACTTTGCTTTTGAACTTCTGTTCCCAGTTCACTACTTGTAAGTACTGCTTCATTCTTTCATAGTCTGCTTTACCCAAACTATAAATCCACATTTTAAACCTTAAGCTTTAGAAATGTAAAATGGTTGATCAAAGGTTGTCATATTATTCATGTGATTTTCAAGGGGGTATGTGCTATCTATTCCATTTATTATATCTTGATTGTTTGTAAAGACTAGATTAATAAGAGAATCTTCAGTAGTAGGTAACTTTATAAACTGGGAAGCAATCATTAACAATTTCAACCATATAAATTTCAGTTTCTGTGTTCATCACATAATTTCTCAATCTGTTGGAAAAAAAGCACATCTCTCAAAGTTTACAAAAGGTGATGTGGTTATAGAAAGCCAGGTGTTAGCAATCACCTCAGACATCCTTGTCTGGTTTGATATTTAAAAAAATTAAAGACATTACAAACAGCATCTGGATAGTTTTACTTTGTTTAAAAAAAAAATCTTCTCACCGAATGAACTATTTTGATAGCTTCATCTCCGCTGCATTTAAAAGGGCTGTCACACACCGACACATTTTTACTGGAAAAAGAAAATTAAGAAATTAATATGTTAAGGAAAACGGTCTTTGAAATTTCATAGACATTAAACTATTTCATATTTTGCAACATTTTTATACAATTTAATCAATTATTTCCTAAATGTTGTAATGCCACATGTGACAGATCTATCTCTCTCTCTCTCTCAAAATACATTCAATTGCATTACACTGTAGAATCTAAAATATACAAATCAAGAGCTGTATAAAAAATATTTATATTTTGTATTAATTTTCTTTAGTATTTAGAATGTAAAACTCTATTAGACTAATAATAAATATTATTGAATTTTTGAGACATTTACAGTATGTTATATATGGAAGAATGTTTCATGTTACAAGGGTACTGAGTTTGATATGAAGACCAGCATCTTGGGAACATTTCTGTTAGAGAGGGGCACTGCTGTACCCTGTATGACTGAAAACTATTGTTATGCATATTGGTTCAGCCACTTTGAGTGAAGTCTAGACTGCTCAGAGAGAAGAACAAATGTGTCTAACAATCCTGCAGACTGAATTGTTTGACTCTTTTAGACACTCCGTCTGTGTGTCTAAAACTATTGAGCTATTACTCAATAGTGTTGATGATGATGGAGACTGCACTCTACTACTTACTAAAACCAGCTAGAGTGAACTTCTTGATGACAACATAGAACAACAAGCAGAAATTCTTACTACGACTAGTAAAAAGCAAAGCAAATACTGGGAGAACACCATGATTGTGTGACATTAATGCTACATTTGATTATTTCTGGCAAGACCTTCCCAGGAATTTAACTTTCTGTGTGAGAATTTGTCTGCAAAACAAAATAAAATGTACTTATTCAAACAGGGGAAAAGGAATACTAAACCACAGAAACTTATAAAAGAGTTATCTTTAGATATAAATCATAATTCAATGTGTTTTAAATTAGAATTTTCACAAAAATCCATAAAAAACGGGCCCTCACACTTGCAGACAAAGAAATGACTGCAATGACCTAAGACAAATGAACACTTTTAAGTGTTCCCAAACAGGCTGTACAATTTATTGAATAATCAGTGATAAAACAATGATGCTTCTCTAAATCTATCTGCTTCTACAGGCAGGAAGCATCATTGCTGAACAGCTTTATTCAGATAATGTTAGCGGTTTCAAGCATAGTTCAGTTTTGTTTTCACATTTTTAACTGAGACATTACAGAGAATTTTAGATTTAAGTCTCATGTATAGCTCTGCAGTTGTCCCTTTTATTTTCATGGGGTGAAAAGTGAAATACTATTCAAGATAAGTACAACAAACAACAGCAGGGAAGAATAAAACAATAATGGGAGCCCAAGAGACCCATGCAACATTACACGAATTGTGTGTTTCTTCAGTCCATAGATCTTAAGAGCACCCTTGTGGAAGATTTCCCACTGACTCACCAATTTATCGCTCCTCCATTAGCCTGTTTCTGCACCAGTGCCCTCCAGTGCTTGTGAGTGGACTTAATTATCTCTATTGCAAAGTCCTGCCAGAACAAAGAGACTACATTCAGCAGCAAGGCAGTGTCCTGATTTCCTCTATAGGTTAACAGGTTAATATTTTCAGTATTGCACCCAGTGACAAGTAACTCTAGCTTGTTGACCGAGCACCGACTTGCACTAAAAAACATTTGACCCCTTTTTGAAAAAAAATATAGACAAATAATGCCACACATACAGTGCCTTGCAAAAGTATTCGGCCCCCTTGAACTTTTCAACCTTTTGCCACATTTCAGGCTTCAAACATAAAGATATAATTTTTTTATTTTATGTGAAGAATCACCAACAAGTGGGACACAATTGTGAAGTGGAACGAAATCTATTGGATTTTTGAAACTTTTTTAACTAATAAAAAA